TTGGGAGTGCGGAGGTGCTCCCGCCGAGGGTTCGGATCCCATGTGGAGACCGGTTCCCACTCACTGGCTGAGCGCGGTGGCTGAGCGCGGTGCGGGCGCAACACCGAGGGTTGCGATCCCGTTGCCGGTCAGTAAAAAAGACAAAAAGGGAAAAAAAAAAAAAAAGCTCTATTTCAGGGAAAAGGGGGGAAACTGAGTCAGGCCTTGTCACTCTGCAGAACAGCAGAAGTCAACGTTTGCATAAACCTGCTCACTGAACTCTCATGCAGCCCTGAGGGGTTTCACAGAAAAGGGACAGGGAGGGCTTGCATCTGAGTCACCTGTCCAGGGTGATGCCTGCAAGAACCCCCCCAGGCCGCTGATGTCACAGAGAAGCAGTGTGTCCCCCGACATGACGTGCCCAAACCCCGGCAAGCACTGCACGTTGGCAGTTTGGGGGCACTTCTCAGACCCCCAGCCTTGGACTTGAAAACATGTTCCTGGGATCGTTGGTCTGAGGATTATGTGCTCAATAAAAACAAACCTTCCTGGACCCCCTCTTCTCTTTCGCTTCAGAGAGAGTCAGATACACAGTGATTCAGGCTCAGCTCAGGGATTGGCTCGTGGTGTAGAATCTCACAGAAGCCCCGAGCACGCCCCTGAGGGCAGGAGGAAAGTGGGGAGGCAGGAGTCCTGCAGTCGAGCCATCTCTCGGGGCCCCAGCGCTCCTGAGATGGCAGCAAACTTTGTGGAGAGGCCATGTGTAGTTGGCATTGTCAGGGAAATAGCCTGTGACTTTGTACCTCTCTGAGTGTGTGGCGGGGTGGTCCCCACCTCTACGGGGCACTTGTCAGTGGACAGGACTCGGTGCAGCCACCCGAGATGCTGCTTCTTCCCTGCCCGTCCTTGGGCCAAGCCCTGGATCCTGTGAATTGGGCTGGAACAGCAGAACTGGATTTGCCCAACACTAGTGGCTCGTGCTGTAGCAATGTTAGCAAAAACCTGCCTGGGGCCACTTAGAAGGGGACAGTGTGCGTGCCGCACCAGGAAGCTCTGGGCTCCTCCTGCAGCAGTCCAGGGCAGGGTGGCACCCGGGCTCGTTCTGTCTCAACTTCTGAACTGACCAGGCAAGAGTCAGCTGGAAGCCTAGTCTGTGAGACTGGGTACTTTATAAAGAAAAGACATTTATTTGGCTCCTGGTTCTGGAGGCTGGGAAGTCCAAGGGCACAGCACAGACACCTGGGGAGCGTCCCTGCTGCGTCACGATGTGATAGGAGCGTGTGGATCACTTCAGGTCTCTTCCTCTTCTTACGAAGCCCCCAGCCCCATAGCTTTATCTCATTCCGATGGCCTCCCCGAGGCCCAACCTCCAAGTTCCATCAACATATGAATTTCAGAATTAAGTTCCCAACACGTGAAATTTGGGGACACAATCGAACTGTAGCAGCTGGCCGGGTGAGCGGGTGGGCAGTCTGGGCTGAGCACTGACTCTTGGCTGTACACTGCGGAGCAATACAGCCACAGAGCCTGGGGTTCCTGCCACTTAGACTCCAGTGACAGGACAGACATCGAGCAGTGATTTGCAGGAAAACTATAACGTGATCAGCGCCCTGAGGGAGGACCAGGGGCTGCTTCTGGGACATTGAACAGGGTTCGCTTCTCTGATCAGGAAATAGCATGCTCACAGCTCTTAAAAATTGTCAAAGGGAAGAAGTAAATAAGGAAATATAAAAACATAACTTTAAAAAATCTAACTCCATAAGGACTAAGCCAGATCAGAAAACAAGTTCTGTTTGCGGAACCCATCCATACAGCTATGAAATGGGATCATTAGATTCTCGCTGTGTGGGCAGCCACGTGCTCTAACGTCAACAGCAGAGGGGCTGTTTTGAGTGAAAGCTGGTGTTTGTGCATTTACCAGGAAGTGCTCTGCTGTTACTGAAGGAGATCACTATAGACATGCGGAGTCCTCCATTGTCAAATGTGGACGTGAGCAGAGTACACAGCACACAAGCACAGACGTGTGCTTGTATGTCACTGTCGCCATCGTGAAGTCTGGGGTCAGAGGATCTTAGGTGGCACGGCTCTGGCTTCGTCATGTAGCACAGACGTGTGCTTGTATGTCACTGTCGCCATCGTGAAGTCTGGGGTCAGAGGATCTTAGGTGGCACGGCTCTGGCTTTGTCATGTGATGTTTATATCCTGCAGAGCACTCTGCGTGCACACACGTGTGTTTGTATGTCACCGTCGCCATCGTGAAGTCTGGGGTCAGAGGATCTTAGGTGGCACGGCTCTGGCTTCGTCATGTGATGTTTATATCCTGCAGAGCACTCTGCGTGCACACACATGTGTTTGTATGTCACAGTCGCCATCGTGAAGCCTGGGGTCAGAGGATCTTAGGTAGCACAGCTCTGGCTTCGTCATGTGATGTTTATATCCTGCAGAGCACTCTGCGTGCACACACGTGTGTTTGTATGTCACCATCGCCATCGTGAAGTCTGGGGTCAGAGGATCTTACTTAGGTAGCACAGCTCTGGCTTCATTACGTAACATTTACAGCCTGCAGAGCACTCTACGTGCACAGACGTGTGTTTGTATGTCACAGTCGCCATGGTGAAGCCTGGGGTCAAAGGATCTTAGGTAGCACAGCTCTGGCTTCATTACGTAACATTTACAGCCTGCAGAGCACTCTCACAGGCTGCATAATTTATGATGTTTTACATAATTCTGGTGTTCATGTAAACCCAGAAATGGCTCACTTAGATGTGTTCAGAGACTTGGAAGAGAGCGATTCGAGTGTGTGCCTTTGGGCTTGCGTGCCTGGCTTGTTTCCTCCGTGGATTGGCTGGCCGCGGCAGCTGCTGGCGCTACACAATTGGCTTGGATGTGAAATCATCCGACGGAAGCAGACCTCTCTGTCTCTGCTCTGTGACTCAGGCTCCTGCCGCTAGGCTAAGCCGAGGACGGAGGTCGCCAGTGCACAGCAGCTCAGGCGCTATCTTTATCACAGATGTCGCCGTTGCAGGGAGCGGCCTGTCATCCCCCACTCCCAGCAGATGCTCGTGAGCCTCCGGAAGCCGTGGGGATTTTCTCCCAAAGTTGTAGCAGTGCCATCAGGAGCGATTTTTTCACACCGATGAACACGGGGACCTCAGATGCTAGGACTAACGTGATGTATGGGTCATAAACTTGCTTTGGAGGGTTTAGTTAGCTGATCACCCGGGAAAGGAAATGACTCGGCTCTTACACAGAATGTAAACTGACCGAGCTCCAGGTTCTGCCTGAGTCTTTGCACTGAGGTGGTTGGTGTCAGGCTGAGAAATAAGCATCACACCAAAAATACCTGTCCTTCGACAAGAGCGAGTTCTGGATGGGACTGCACAGGCCCCGTGGCCCGAGACCTTCCCTGGGCACGCGTGTCACCCTGTGGTGCGGGGAGGGGATGACGGAGAATCGCTTTACCGTAAGGTTTTCTCAGAGGCAACGAGGGAAGCCTGACGTCCTCCTGTGCACACTAATTGCGGCGTCTCTCCCTCTTTCAGCTTACAGGATGCTGGCATCGGATTCATCCTGGTCATAGACCGAAGGCAGGACAAATGGACCTCCGTGAAGGCGTCTGTCCTGCGAATAGCAGTAAGTGCCGTTCCCCGGGGCTGGTGACAGCATGACCCTCCTCACAGTGCCGCCCACGGCTGCTCCGTGCTGAGTGGCAGGGCTCAGCGCCACGGTGGCGGCCAGCCCCTGCCCTCGCCCGGGGCGCACAGGCACAGACACAAGCCCGCTCCTGCTGGGGCCCCCGGTCACTGGAGCTGCGTTTCCTCAGATGGATTAATGCTTAGGGAGTCTGTTAACCTTGGGAACCGTTTCCCCAGCCGGACGGCCTGTTTGTTTCTGAACACTGAGTGTGTCGGATGCCCGGGACTTTAACGTGCGTTCGCTCCGGAAGGCGCCCAGCTCTGAGCAGGCAGGTGCTGTGTTACAGACACTCCTTCAGCACCAGTTTCAAACGACACTGCACGGCCTTTTCTAAGTGCCTTTCTCCTTTCCACACACAGCTATATCTTCTTTAGCTTTAAGATTCAATTAGATGCCATAGGCTTCCTTGGCAACGCATCCCGCCCTTAGCAACCCTCGTTTCCCCGGAATCCGTCCTCGCATCCGCAGGGCTGGTTGCAGGGTCTACCGGCTGCCCCCCGTGGGACAAGAGTGGCGGGGATTGCGCTGTTTCCAGCCGCAGTGGTCCTTCAGGAGGGAAGGGGGTAGGGCAGCAAAGCCCCCGCGCCTCGTTTCCTCGGTGGCTTCCACCTCTACCCTGCAGCACCCCTTTCCCACACCTGCTCCCCTGCCTGTGGCCGGAGCTTCGCAGCGGCCGAGAGACCAGAAAGTTTGACTGTCTGCCACCAGGTGACCTGGAGTGACCGGACCGTTGGTCCTCAACCCTGGAAGTTCAGCTGCTCCGAGGTTCCTTAGAACTCTGACCCGGATGGAGTGAAACCCTCCTGACCTAGTGCTTCACGTCTTGCGCGCAAAGCCGGCCCTGGGCTCCCCGGCCTCTCAGAGGCACCGGCTGTGCTGAGGTTCAGGGTGTAGTGAGAGAGTTAATTCCCTTCCCCACAGATGGCCTCGTTATTTCTTCTTTAAGAAGAATTAAAGGATCGGGGTCGGCTCTGACCCTTGCGACCTGCACCTCCCAGGGCCTCTCCTCAGCCAGTCCCCTCCTGTTCCCTGTCCTGACCTGGCCTGTGCCATCTTCCATCTGAAGTGCATCACAGCACTGCAGGATGTTTCAGAAGAAGCAGACATGTTATGTAATCAGCGCTCCCAGCAATATAGAAAGTGTTTTGGGAAGTTAATAGCCAATGCGTCCACTTCACTGTTTAACTTTTAAATGAGCGTGCACGTGATGGCGTGGCAGGCCGTTCTACACATGAGATTGTAAGAACCCACCGGGTCAGATGCACAGGGGATTCAAGACATATTTCTTGAGTTAGTCCTGGGTTGGATGCCGTGAAGCTCCCGCCGAGTCTGTCACTATTTAGAGAAAACGAGCACTGCTGCAGTAGCGGCATCTTGCAGATCAGTCCAGCTCAGCTCTTCTGTGTTCATCTGCCACAGGCGCAGATAAACCTCCAAGACACTGCTGAGCACGGCACAGGCGGTAGGAGTCAGCCCCTGCCGTGACATTCACGGGGTCAGGACCCACCTGGGCACTCTCACTCCCCTGATCCAAGCACTGGTGGCCTCCCGTCCTTGCCCGACGGTCTCTGCACCTTTGCACACATGCCGCGACCTGGGACCCCTCACCTGGCAGCCTCAGGCAGCTTCCAGCTTCCACTCACGCTTCATGTGCCACTCACACAGCACCTGCTCAGGAAACCTTCCTGCCCTCAGAGCCTGTGCTCAGCTCCCGGAGGCGCCTTCTTTGCTTCTTCCTTTGTGGAGGGACGCCTGTCCACCTGCACGCGGCCAGTGCCCAGCCCAGGCCTGATGCCGTGACACCTCCACCACGCATCCCCCGTGTGCCCAGATACCTCCACTATGCATCACCGTGTGTGCCGTGACACCTCCACCATGCATCCCCCGTGTGCCCAGATACCTCCACCATGCATCACCGTGTGTGCCGTGACACCTCCACCACGCATCCCCCGTGTGCCCAGATACCTCCACCATGCATCACCGTGTGTGCCGTGACACCTCCACCACGCATCCCCCGTGTGCCCAGATACCTCCACCATGCATCACCGTGTGTGCCGTGACACCTCCACCACGCATCCTCCATGTGCCCAGATACCTCCACCATGCATCACTGTGTGTGCTGTGACACCTCCACCATGCATCCCCCGTGTGCCCAGATACCTCCATATGTGCATCACGGCGTGTGCCGTGACACCTCCACCACGCATCCCCCGTGTGCCCAGATACCTCCATATGTGCATCACCGCGTGTGCCGTGACACCTTCACCACGCATCCCCCATGTGCCCAGATACCTCCACACACGCATCACCAACATCTCTCAGATTAATCATTTGCTCCAGGGCTAGATGACAAGAGGTTCCCCAAATACAAGCTTGCTTTTTAAGAAATACAGAAATTATTTCTGAAAAACTGAAGTCATCTTGCAAGATCCCCCTACCAGACGGCGGTACCATCTGCAGTGCCCCTGCCACGAGGCACGTGTGGAGCTGGAGGGGTCAAGTACTGATGGAGTTTATCCACCGCCGAGTCTATGATCAAAGTTCTGAAGCAAGCTGGCTCATCTGTACAGCTGTGTTTTGTGAGAATCATAACTGGAAAGTTAGTGTTTGAGTTTTTATTTTTGCATTGATTCTTACAGGGCTTTTTCCCTGTAATTCTCAGAGTTCACCAATAGTGGTTTGGAAATAGCAGAAGTAGGCACTTTTCAGCAGAATTCTCTTTGAACTCCAGTGCTTTCCTGTTGTAAGAACTAACTGACCGTACGAACGCACAGGTTCCATTCACATGCTGCGACCTTGCTGTGCGCTGGGCTTTACAGGGTGTGCACGCAGAGGAAGAAATAGCAGTGTACAGCCAAGTGGGGGTTCAGGTGGCTGGGAGACCATGGCAATAAGGGACGTCGTGGCAGGAGGGCGCACACAGAGGCAGCGCGGGATGTCGGCCTGAGCCAGGCTGGGCCACTCCTGTGCCCACGTCCACCCCACCGTCTGGGCCATGATCCCTGGAGAGGGACCCCACTGCCTGGGTCCGGGGCTGTGAATGTTTGTGAACTTAATGCAGAAGGCAGTGTGATCAACCAGCACCACACCGCAGTGGAGGAGGCTGGGTGGTCCAGGTGGAGACTTCAAGCTTGGGACCCTCTCCTGATGAAGTTCAGTTTAGACCCCACAGGGAGAGGCAGAGGAAAAGGCCCAGGAGGAGAGACTCAGCAGGAGGGAGGCCTTGTCGGGAGGAGCTCAGTCGCCTTCATCCTGGGAACTTGGAGGATCTGGCCAAGGCAGAGGACAGGCGTGGTCACAGTTGAGCCTTGGGACCGTCAGTCCAGGAAGGGTGAGGGTCTCACCACCGTAGTCTACGGTGGCAGGTGGCAGGAGATGGGCAGGCATCCCAGACTCTCTGTGTGGCTTTCCAGGAGTGCAGACCAGGAATGACTGCACCGGAGGTCTTGGTTTGTTTTTTTCAGAGAAGGCACTGTTGACTCTGATGGGGGGAGCTGGGCCAGAGCAGAAGCCAGCATCAAGGCCCCACCCTGGGCTGCAAACCTTGACTGCGAGCCTCAGCTGGCCTATGTCTTTCTGCAAAGTGGCTTCAGGAAAACCATCACTTAGTGTCAGCCAAGGCCAGCCAGAGCCCATGAGAGGATTTCCCAACATGCTGGCACCCCAGCGAGGACGATGCTGCTGCAGCGCCTGACCCCAGTGCTGCAGGACACTACACAAGCAGGCTGGTGGCAGAGGCGTCTCTTTACCTCCCAGCGCGTCTGGCCACCCGAGTGGGATTCGGCACTTACATAATGTGCTGTAATTATGGGGCTATTTTTAGCCACCATATGTGCTATCTCATGAGCTGAGCTTTACCTAATTTGGGGTGTTCTTTGTTCTTTTTTGGATGCCTTCAGCTTGGCTTGGCATAGAAAAATAAGACATTGGCAGAGCCAAAATCCAGTGTTCTTAAAACCAGACTCCCTGTGCTTCCGCCAAGAACAAAGCCTCTGTCGATTGCGGCCATGTGAGGCCTCTGTTTACCTGTTACGGGTTCGGGGTCTCTAGTGAGCAAAGGTGGAAACAAACAACAGGACCCGCAGCTGAGAACTCAGATGTCTCTTCTCTCTTTGTCAGACAGCTGGCAAAAGGCCTGGGCAGGCCTCGGAAGGATTCTTTTATAAAATACTTAAGTGTTCTTTTCTAGGATTCTATTTCAAAATCTAACCCTCTTCTGTTATGCCCTGTGTATGTGTGTGTGTGTGTGCGTGTGAGTGCATGTGCGTGAGTGTGTGCGTGTGAGTGTGTCTGTGAGTGCACATGTGTGTGAGTGTGTGTGTGCGCGTGAGTGTGTGTGTGAGTGCATCTGTGTGTGTGCACGCGTGTGTGTGTGAGTGCATCTGTGTGTTTGTGTGTGCATGTGTGTGAGTGTGTGTGCGTGTGCATGTGAGTGTGCGCGTGTGCGTGTGTGTGCGTGCGTGTGTGTGCGTGCGTGTGCGTGTGTTAGCATTTTTGGATTTTGTAACAGAGTGTACGTATTTATGTTTGGAGCTAGCCAAGTTCAATCTTAATCCATATCCTAGTGTATGGAGCTCAAGAGAATTGAATTTAATGTCATTTTTAGTCTGCATGGGGCTGGACTCTTTTTTCCTGTAGAGCCGATGCAGTCTGTGTGTGCAGAAAAGGCACAAAATGAGTTGTCTGAGGGACCCAGGACTTTTAGGTCATCCAGAAAATATTTCACATTTGGCAAAGTATGATTGTTTTGAGCACTGTGGTCAAGCTCCCACCTGCACCAGTTACTGGTGCCCTGGCAATGAGCTGACGACAGGTGTGGTGGGAGCCTGGGGGTGGGAGCAGGGATAACACCTGGAGGACTTCCTGGCAGAGGTGATGCTGGAGATGAGCAGCCCCTGTCCAGGAGGTAGGCCTTGTCCAGGCAGAGAGGGGGCGAT